GACGACGACGACGACGGCGACGACGACGACGACGACGACGGCGACGACGACGACGACGACGGCGACGGCGACGGCGGCGACGGCGGCGGCGGCGGCGGCGTCGGCGTCGGCGCCGGCGCCGGCGCCGGCGACGGCGCCCGCCGCGCGCGCCAGTGCCCGCTGCAGGCCTCCGCGGGTGCGTGGGCCTGCGGGCCTCGGCCCGTGGGCCTCGGCCCGTGGGCCTCGCCGCGTGCGCGGTCGGGGCGGGGCCGGATGGATTTCCCCGTCGTGCTGCCCCAGGCTAACTACTGTCGGGGGTGGCAAAGAGGGGGGTGATGACTAGGGGGGGCTGGATATCATGGCAGGGGGGATGATATTTCCCCAGATTTCATGGCGCCTCTTCTTATTTCATTACGTCCCTGGCCCCCCCGCTGGGCCGCGCACGTGCCGCCGGCCATGATTAGCACCCCCCCTCTTGGACGCCCCCCTCGTTGCCGCCCCCGATATCTTATCGGGCACAACCAGGACCCTAGATAAGGGAACCATAGGGAACCCTGTTGGTAGTAGGGCCCTGGAACCCCTAAATTGGCCAGAATCACGAAACCAGGTCTGCCGTAGCTGGTATTTTTTCGGGTGACGGCAGTCAAAGTTAGTGGAACGTGGCGGGGCAGCGTCCCCCAGTACACATTACTAAACCAGGTCCCACTAAACCCAGTTCTGCTAACGCCCGACTTTAGCCTGGATCACCAGAAAGAAATTCGAGCACCAGGAGAAAAAGAGTACCGAAACTCGAGGGTGTTCACGCGTCGGGCCCTGGGAGACACTCGTCCGACACTCCTTCGACACGCTTTCGACACTTTTCCGGATGCTCGAAATCACTTCTGTGATGTGGTCTTTAAGTACGACGGGAGCAACATAATTTCCCCGTCGAATTACGAGGGGGTCGTAGGATTGCAATCATCAGTTGAACGAAGGATTGCAAAAAAAGAACAGGATTGCAAAACAAAAAAAACAGGATTGCAATCCAACGCTGGATTGCAAAACAACGGGGTCTTTTTCGCAATCCAGCGTAGGTTTTTTTTTGCAATCCTTCGTTCAAATCATCAGTTGTCGTGCCGCCCAGGTGCGTGCGCGGCCCCCGGGGCTCTCCACTCCCCCGCGCGGCCGCGGCACGGCGCCTCGCCGGCGGAGGAGGAGGAGGCAGGGCGTGCCCGTGCCCGCGGGCACTGCTCGCGGGCCTCGCCCCGGCGTGGCTCTCTCGGGTATGGCCAGGGCCCCGGGTGAGGGGACCCGGTCAGTGGTAGGGCCCTGGAGCCTTCGAGTGGGCCAGAATCACTAAACCCAGAGATCCAACGTATTGAAAAAAACACGACGCAGTTTTTTTTTTTTGTTTTCTATTTTCGGCCTCAAGGGACCCTCGCCGGGCCCCGGGACCGTCAAAAAACGACTCAGGATTAAAAACCAGTCCTGGGGAATGGGTCGAGACCTCCGGGAACCCCGTACTGAAAAAATCAAGACGTCGGATCTCTGGGAACCAGGTTTGCCATAGCTGGTGTTTTTTCGGGTGACGGCAGTTCCGGTCAGTGGACATGGGGCGGGGGAGCACCCCCGGTAGAGATCATTAAGCCGTGGAACCTGCAGGTTCCACTAAACCCAGTTCTACCAACGCCCGAGTCTCCCGTGGGCTGCCGGTCTACAGCGCACGCCTCCGCGCGACGCAGGCCGCTTCGCGTCGCGAGGAAAAGTAGCACGGCGGAGGGTTGTTCGCTGGTTTCGGCCTCCAGGGGCCCTCATTGGGCCTCGGGGCCGTCCAGAAACGACTCGGGATGAAAAGCCGGTCCCCAGGAAGGGGTCCAGACCTCTGGGGGTCGACGTCAATTGTGGGTGTGGCCAGTACGTTGCTGACGGCCAGCAACGTCGGAGTTCTGGGGAGGTGGCCAGTACGTTGCTGACGGGGCCCGCAGCTGTGCCACCGGTGGCTGTGACCATCGCCGCGTCGGAGGAAAAAAGGTGTGTCTAGGTGTCTTTGTCGGTCTCTTCTTGGCCGTCGCTCCCTTCTCTCCGCCCCCCTCCCTCGCCTTTTGCCGGCCGTGTGCCGGCTGCTGGCTCTCTTCCGCTCGCCGCCACGACTCGATCGATCCCCCCTGCTGGCTCCCTTCCTCTCCTCTTCCTCTTGCAGCGCCTGCCCTTGCAGGTCAGCGGTCGGCTATGCTCGCCATCCGTTCTGCCGCTGAAAGGTGCGCCACGTCCACAGCGCCGAACGCAATTCACCCGCTGCATGCCGCCGGCGGTCGCCTGCCCGCTCCCATCCACGACGTTGGGTGGTAAACACTTGCTTCGAACGCGTCCCGCTCAGGCATTCGCGACGGCACCGTCACCTCGCCAGTGAAGGAAGCGTCCGTGTGCGGGGGTGGGGGGGTGGGGGGAGGGCGGGGGGGGGAGGGCAAGGGCATCCGAGCCCGCGCCTGCAGACCACCCGAGGGGGCGGGCGCGACCGGCTTCCCGGGTGCAGCCCCGCGAGGCGATCGATACAGGAGCAGATCAGCAGCGTCCGCGCCTCGCTGAATCAGCTGAAGGCTCGCCGCCTTCAGGGGAGGGGGGCGGGGCCCAGATCTCCTCGCGTCGTGAGAGCAATGACGATCATGATGGCGATAAGGACGATCATGATTAGAAGGATGATGATATTGACGATGTCTATCGCCATCGCATCGTCCTTATGGTGGGCCTTCTGGGCCTTCCGGGGGCCCTCCCTGGGCCCTGGGGTCGTCCCGTCTGGGCAAGAAAACGACGTGTGTTACCAGCCTCGAACGTGTCCCTATCCCTAAGATTGACACGCCCAAAGGCGATGACAATCTTAGGGAGTCGCCCTCCAAAACTAAGGGAATCCCTAAGATTGGCATCGTGATGAGGAGGTGCCCAGCATAGGGATAGGGATATGTTCCAGGCTGGTAAGTGTGGTCCCGGGGAAGGGGCCGAGACCTCCGGGCGTCCGCGCTGCGAGACAAACCATGACGTCGGGGTTGCTGGGGGGGGGGGGGCTGGGCAGGGCAACGAGGGGCAGGGGTCGGCGACCGGCCCGGGGGGGGAGTGAACGAGGGCGGGCCTGCTCAGAAGGCTCGGCAGCCCCCCGGCCTTCCGAGAGGTCTTCTGGGCCAGCCCCGAAGACACAAAAAAACCTCCCTGACTTCCTCGCGCTGTGAAAAAAACACACGGCGGGAAGTTTTTCGTTGTTTTCGGCCTCCAGGGCCCTTACCGGGCCTCGGGACTGTCAAAAAACAACTCCGGACGAAAAACTGGTCCCGGGGAAGGGGTCCAGACCTCTGGTGGTGGTCGACGTTGTGAAAAACACACAACGTCGGGGGTCTGGGTTTTCAGAAGGCGCGAGGGCTTCTGAGAAGTCCCGCCGCCTCCTGAGATCTTCTGAGCAGGCCTTCTCCTTCTCACGCACCCCCCTCGCTTGCCGCTGGCAGCGGTCACTGTCACCCAGGGCCACTCTTGCGTGTAACCGAGAGCCGAGGCTTCTGAGCAGGCCCCGTTCTGAGAAGTCCCTCCCTCCGATGCTGGAATCTATACATGATCACCGCCTGGAGGGTCGATTTTCGGAGACTTCGGCAGGCGGTGGATACGGATATATTCCTCTTCGGATATTCTTATTGGGGGAAAAACTCCCCTGACCCCCCCCGTACGTAAATTCGGCCCTGAGAACTCCAACCGACGTCACATTCGAATTCCGGTTTCGGGAGCCTCTCCCGGCCATCCCTGGACGGTCCCGCAAAGCCCCAAGGCGGCCCAAGACCGCTCCAGATCGGCTCATGAGCGCTCAAAGAGGCCTCAAGGTGGCTTCAAGACGGCCCAAGATGCTCTCAAGACGCCCCAAGAGGCCCCCAAGAAGACCCCAAGAGGTTAAAATCGTCCCATTCTTTTCGGAACGCGTACATTTTTAGCATATCCTTTGGCCTTCACCGCGTCCAAGACGGCCCAAGAGGCCCCCGATATCGCCCCAGGACGGCCCCAGAAGTCTCCGAGGGAGCCCCAAGACAGCCCAAAAGGGCTCCAACACGGCAGCCCCAACGAGCACCAAAAGGCTGCCCAGAGAGTCCCAAGAAGGCCGCAGGAGGCCCCCAAGAAGAACCAAGAGGGCCCCAAGACGGCCCAAGCCCCCCAGGACGGCCCAAGAGGGTCTCGGGACGGCCCAGGAGGGCCACCAGACATCCCAAAAGAGCGTCAAAAGGAGCCCCACGAGAGCTCCGAGAGGCCATACCCCTCATCAGCCATATGAGGCCTGTCGGCCCCAAAAGCCCTACGACCACTATGGTGCCCCATGAGCCCTGTGAGGCCTGGGAACCCCAAAACCTCCAGAGCTCTCACCCCCACGCGCCGCGAGACCCCGAAGGGCCCCCCAACTCATAATCCAGATCACGGGTGTGCCGCCATGGACGGCGCGGCGGCATGCACACGTTGGCTCTTCACCGTCGGTGGAGCGGTGTGGCGGCATGCACACGTTGGCTCTTCACCGTCGGTGGAGCTCCCTGTGGGGTGCGGTCCATGTGGTGAGGGGACATTCGGCAAACATGTGGTGACTTAGCGTTCTGCGGATCCTCCCAGGAAGACGGATCACAAGGGCCCCATGAGGGCCACGAGATTGCCGAAGGTGCCCCACTTTGTGTCCCTCCCTGCCTTCTTCGCTCCTTCTCTCCACTTCCCTTTTCCCTGTCTCCATTTTGGCTCCAGGCGCCTTCGGCTCCCGCTTTACAGCGCTTCCTGTCTCCGCCACCCCACAGCGGAAACGCGGAAGCACCGAGCCACCACTCCTACCCACGATGTCCCCTTCGACGATTCCATCTTCACGGCGTCTTGGGCAGGCCTTTCCGCCCTGTGCGGGAAACTCGGCCTGCCCCTTCGCGGCAACCGCGCTGCCCTCCTCGCTCGATTGGTCCCGAGGTGGGCGCCCTCGGCTGCGGAGGGGGCCTTTTTGGGCCCGTCTTTCGCCTTAACTGAGATCCACCGCCTGCGGGCGGGAGGTCGCCCAGCTACAAGCGATGCTCGACGCCGACGCCGACGAAGACCAAGCACCTCTGGCAGCCCCTGCTGCTGGTGAGCCTGCGCTGCGGCACCCCCGCCAGATCCGGCACCGAATGCGGCGCCCGAGGCAGACCGCAACGGCGACGGCCTCTCAAGCGGACGCGCTTCCTGCAGCCCCCTGCCGCGTTCGTGGACTTCGCCGCGTCTCTGTTCGCGGACGCTGCGCTCCCTGCCCCCGTGCGGTCGCGCATCTCCGAGCGGGCAGACGTCGAGACACATCTTTACGCAGAGACTGTTCTGACCTCCGTGCTGCAGCACGATGCCGACATTTTCGGATGGATTACGCTCATGCGCGTGGCGCCTCGGCGCCGCGTGGTGCTCGCCTTCGCGAAATGGGTCTCTTCCCGCGCCGCCGTTTTCACGATGCAGAACGCCACGGACGTGGTTCACCACTTGAGTCAGCGCTTCAAGCCCGGGGAGTCGCGGTTCGATACCCGCCACCTTGTCGGCGGGTCGGCCGTGCTGCAGGAGCTCGTCAACGATGGCGCCAGTGTGGCTGCCGTGCGCCATTTCGTGGACAAGTTCACCGTGTCGCCGCATGCCGCCCGGGGCCCCAGTGCCCTCCACGAACTGCTGGAGCTGGAGTCGCGGAAACCGAAACTCGCGCACCTCCACGCTGGGTGCAAATACCTACGGGGGCACACGGCTCGACAGCTCTTCCTCCGCACGCTCCGCCGCGACAGCCGCTGCACGTGGGGCAAGCCTGACTGGGGCGTCATCGGCGAGCTCCTCCCGGGGACCGCCGACGGCGCCGCCGAGGTCGGAATCGTCGGGCACGACGACGCAGTCCGAGCAATCACCGACGTCAGCTCCACGTTCGGCGAGGTCCCGCCGCTGACGTTGGCCGACCTCAGCATGGCCCTCTGTTTGCGCCCTCGGGCGCCGCGGCCTCACATCGACCACGCTGTCCCGTTGGAGTTGCCTGAGTAGCTTCCTCAACTGGTCCTCCCTTCTTCCGCTCTCACCACAAACCTACCCCCCTCTTCCCCCTCATCCTTCTCCTCGTCTTCCTCTCCCCCCCAAAAAAAAACTCGCCATGGCAGTGCTCCGCCGGCCAGCGGCGCCAGACGAAGGGGCGGCGGGAGTGTAGGAGCAGAAGGACACGAAAGGAAAAATAGGAGACGGAGGCCCTATGAGCCCTGTGAGCCCTATGGGCTCTATGAGCCCCATGGCCCCCATGAGCCCTACTAGCCCTATGAGCCATATGAGCCCTAGGAGCCCTATGGGCCATACGAGCCTTATGAGTCCATTGAGCCCCGTGAGCCACACGCGCCCCATGAGCCGTATGAGCCCCATGAGCCCTATGAGCCTAATGAGCCCTACTCGCCCTATGAGCCCTATGAGCCTATGACCCATATAACCCCTATGGGCCCTTCCCTACAGGCCCACTGAACGCTACGAGCCCCATGGCCCCCATGAACCCTATGAGCCCTACGGGCCCTGTGGGCCCTCTGAGCCCTATGGGCCCCATGAGCCCTATGAGCCCTACGGGCCCTATGGGCCCTATGAGCCCTATGGGCCACATGAGCCCTATGGGCCTTATGAGCCCTATGAGCCCTACTTGCCCTATGGGTTCTATTTGCCCTACAGGCCCTATGAACCCTATGAGCCCTATGACCTTCATGAGCCCCGTGGCCCCCATGAGCCCTATGAGCCCTATAAGCATTATGAGCCCTATGGGCCCTACGAGCCCTATGAGTCCATTGAGTCCGTGAGCCCGACCAGCCCCATGTGCCGCATGAGCCCCTTGAGCCCTATGAGCCTTATGAGCCCTATGAACCTTCTGAGCTCTGTGAGCCCTATTGGCCCTATGAGCCTTATGACCCCCACGATCCATGTAAGCCCTGTGAGCCCCGTGAGCCCCACGAGCCCCTAAGAGCTCACGAGCCCCATGAGCCCAATGAGCCCTGTGAGCCCTTATGAGCCCTATGAACCCTACGGGCCCTATGGGCCCTGTGGGCTGGATGAGCCCCATGAGTCCTATGAGCCTTATGAGCACCATGAGCCCTATGAGCCCCATTAGCCCTAGGGGCCCTATGAGCCCTACGGGCTCTATGAGCTCCACGGGACCCATGAGCCCTATGAGCCCTAGGAGCCCTACTTGCCCTGTGGGCCCTACGAGCCATATGAGCCCATTGAAACCCGTGAGCCCGCCGCGCCCCATGAGCCGCATGAGCCCTATGAGCCTTACGAGCCCTGTGAGCCCTACTAGTCCTATGAGTCCTATGAGCTCTATGAGCCTATGACTCCTGTATCCCCTTTGAGCCCTGCCCTACGAGCCCTATGAGCTATACGAGCCCCATGGCCCCCTATGAGCCTTATGAGCCCTATCAGCCCTGTGAGCCCTACAGGCCCTACTGGCCCTATGGGCCTTCTGAGCCCTATGGGCCCCATGACCCCTTATGAGCCCTATGAGCCTTATGAGCCCTATGGGCCCTTTGAGACCTATGGACCCTACAAGCTCTGTGAGCCCAATGGGCCCTCTGAGCCATAGCCCTAGGAGCCCATGAGCCCTAGGGGCCCTATGAGCCCTATCAGCCCTGTGAGCCCTACGGTCTCTATTGGCCCTACACGCCCTATGAGCCCTACGGACCGCATGAGCCCTATGAGCCCTATGAGCCCAACGAGGCCTATGAGCCCTACGGGCCCTATTGGCCCTAAGAGACTAATGAGCCCTGTGAGCCCTACGACCCCCCATGAGCCGCATGAGCCCTATGAGCCCTGGGGGCCCTATGGGCCCTACGAGCCCTATGAGTCCAGTGAGTCCGTGAGCCCTACCAGCCCCACGAGCCGCATGAGCCCCTTGAGACCTATGAGCCTTACGAGCTCTATGAGCCCTATGAGCTCTATTGGCCCTATGAGCCTTATGACCCCCACGATCCATGTAAGCCCTGTGAGCCCCACGAGCCCTTATGAGCTCACGAGCCCCATGGCCCCCATGAGCCCTATGAGCCCTGTAAGCCCATATGAGCCTTATGAGCCCTATGAGCCTTATGAGCCCTAAGGGCCATGTGAGCCGGATGGGCCCCATGAGCCATATGAGCCTTATGAGCTCTATGAGCCCTATGCGCCTCATGGGCCCCACTGGACCTTTGGGCCCTCTGAGCCCAATGAGCCCTGTGACCCCTACGACCCCCATGAGCCGCATGAGCGCCATGAGCCTTATGAGCCCCATGAGCCCTATGAGCCCCATGAGCCCTAGGGGCCCTATGAGCCCTAAGGGCTCTATGAGCCCCAATGGCACCCATGAGCCCTAGGAGCCCTAGGAGCCCTAAGGGCCCTGCGAGCCCTACGAGCCCTACGAGCCCGCCGCGCCCCATGAGCCCTCTGAGCCCTATGACCCCTATGAGCCCGATGAGCCTCACTAGCCCTATGAGTCATATGAGCCTTATGAGCCTATGACTCCTGTAACCCCTATGGGCCCTGCCCTACGAGCCCTATGAGCTCTACGAGCCCCATGGCCCCAATGAGCCTTACGAGCCCTATCAGCCCTATGAGCCCAATGAGCCCTACAGGCCCTATGGGCCTTCTGAGCCCTATGGGCCCCACGACCCCTTATGAGCCCCATCAGCCCTATAAGCCCTTGGAGCCCCATGGGCCCTACAAGCTCAACGAGCCTTACGGGCCCTCTGAGCCCTATGGGCCCCATGAGCCTTATGAGCCCTATGAGCCTATGAGCCCTACAAGCCCTATGAGCCCTATCAGCCCTGTGAGCCCTATGGGCTCTATTGGCCCTACACGCCCTATGAGCCCTACGGGTCCTATGTGCCCTATGAGCCCTATGGGCCCCATGAGCCCTATGATCCCTATGAGCTCTATGAGCCCTATGAGCCCCATGAGCCCTACGGGCCCTATGGGCCCTATGAGCCCTGTCAGCCCTACGACCCCCCATGAGCCGGATGAGCCCTAGGGGCCTTATGAGCCCTACGAGCCCTATGAGCCCCATGAGCCCTAGGGGCCCTATGAGCCCTATGAGCGCTATGATCCCCATGAGCCCTATGAGCCTTACGAGCCCTATGAGCCCTTTGAGCCCTACAGGCCCTATGAGCCCTATGAGCCCTGTTTGCCCTACAAGCCTTACGGGCCCTAAGAGCCCTATGACCTTCATGAGCCCCATGGCCCCCATAAGCCCTATGAGCCCGATGCGCCCTATGAGCATATGAGCCCCATGAGCCCTATAGGCCCTATGAACCCTACGAGCCCTACGTGTCTATTGATTCCATGAGCCCTACCATTCCCATGAGCCGTATGAACCCCTTGAGCCCTATGCCTTATGAGCCCTATGAGCCCTATGCCCCCTATGACCCCTACGACCCATGTAAGCCCTGTGAGCCCCACGAGCCCTATGAGCTCACGAGCCCCCTGGCCCCCATGAGCCGCATGAGCCCTATGAGCCTCATGAGCCCTATCAGCCCTATCAGCCCTGTGAGGCCTACGGGCTCTATTGGCCCTACACGCCCTACGAGCCCTATGAGCCCTACGGGCCCTATGGGCCCTATGAGCCGTATGGCCCACATGAGCCCTATGGGCCCTATGAGCCCTATGAGCCCTACGGGCCCTATGGGCCTATGGGCCCTATAAGCTCAACGAGCCTTATGGGCCCTCTGAGCCCTGTGGGCCCCATGAGCCCTATGAGCGCTATGAGCCCTATGAGCCCTGTTAGCGCTATGGGCCCTATGGCCCCCAGGATCATTGCGAGCTCTATGGGCCCAATGGCCCACAAGAGCTGATGTTTCCAATACGCCCCAGGACCCTTATCAGCACCATGAGCCTCCTATGACCCCCATGACCTCTGTTAAAGCCGCTCAGCATTATGAGCCCCCCCGATGTGCACAAACAGTCCCATGAGCCCAGCGAACCCATGAGTCCTGTGAACCCTGTGAGTCTCATGACCCCCTGGAGCCGCATCAGCAGCATTACCCCTCGCTAAACAAATGGGGGCTCCGAGCCCCTGGGCCCCATGGCGGCAGAGGCACCTTCTGAGCTCTTTGAGCCGCAATCTTCCCTGGGTCCTCTCAGCCCTGTTTGCTCCATGGTGTCCATGGCCAGAACGCACCGCGGCTGTGGCGACAACCGATATCATCGCGCCGCCCTGGCGCCATGCGACCAATAGTTTAAAGGCGAAGCGCAGCGAGCTGGTAACATAATGTCTGTATACGTATGATATATATATATATGTGTATATATATATATATATATGTTCGTTCCCCCCCCCAGCGACCCCCCAAAACGCCCAAAACACGAAGCCGCGGTCTTGAGATGCTGGCACCGAACAGCCGCAGACACATGGTCTGTCACAGCGGGCTGTGACCCGAGAAGTATTCCTCCTCATCTTACTCTCCCTCATCCTCCCCCTCCTCTTCCATCTCCCCCCTCGCCTCCTGCTTCTCCTGTTACTCGTCCTCCTCCTCCCTCCTCCCTCGTCCTCCGCCTTCTGTTCTTCCACCTGGTCCTCTCCCTGTTGGAGAATTCAACTTTGGCCTGCCATCCAGGCTGACGAACTCATCCGCTCGGCCCATCCGTCACGGGCACCGTGCGCGCAAGCATATCGGTTTCGGCCGAGGCCACGAAACACTGTGTATCACAGGTTTGTCTGGTTTTTTCTGGTCTGGGAACCAACGAAACACTGCGTATCACAGGTTTTTCTGGTTTTTCTGGTTTCTGGAGCTGAAATGCTCGCCGCGGCCTCGCCCCACCGCTCCCCCACCTCCTGTTTGTCGGCACCTGAAAACCAGAAAAACCAGAAAAACCTGTGATATACAATGTTTCGTTGGTTCCCAGACCAGAAAAACCAGAAACACCTGTGATACACAGTGTTTCGTGGCCTCTGAGCAAGAAAACACTGTGTACTCTTCGGGGACTACAGCGCTCGCCGCTCACTGGCAGTGCTCCTTGAGGAAGGCCTCCTCCAGCATCTTCCCTGTTGCCAG